TTAGTAGCCACATGTGGCTAGTGGCTACCATTTCAGCACAAATACAGAACATTTCCATCATTGTTGAAAGTACTGTTGGATAACACTGATCTAACTCATACATAAAACAGCATCTGTTTCTTTCATTTCTCCTCCACCTACCTACCCCAAACTTTAGGGATGGTAATAAGCAAGGCAGTATGGCACTGATATATAAATTACCCGAGAACTTTAAAAAACAGATTTTATTACGTTAGTTTTAATGTAACTTTGCTGTGGAGCAAAATATACCTTCTATTCATAAACATATAGCACACAGTTTCCTCATTTAGATATCACAGCTTCTATGGATTATATTTAATTAGTTTCCTCCAAAGCTCAAGTTGATGTCAATTTTAAACTAAATGATATGGAAAGAAATGAAACAGATAACTCGCTCTTGGAACTTACTTTCTCCTTGTAATCAAAGTACTTATTGCTTTGCTATAACTCCTAAGTGAGAATATACATTTTTTCATATACTCATAAATATAAAAATATTATGTTACATATGCAATTGAATGTTCCCATTTAAAAGAATCAAGTATATAACTCTTACACAACACATAGAAACACAAGTTTCAAATGTGAGAACAGACATTAACATAAACACCATGTATGCACTGAAATGTTTCACATTCATTAAACAGTTCATAAAATTAGGACGGAGAAGTTGTTAAACTATATTCTATATTCTTACTGAAGCTTTTTCCCTTCTTGCACTATAGCTCTTAGTTTTCAGAGTTAGAGGTGACTGCATCTCAAAAAAAAAAAAAAAAAAAAATTCGAACTCAATTTTCTGCCCTCATTCTGTGTTGTCTACGGAAGAGTCTCTGCTTGGAGTTTTTGTTTCAATATACAGAATGCAGGGCTGAAATCCTCAACCATCCTTGTTCCAAAGCCTGATACACAAACCTTTCATATATATTTTGATGTCTGAGTCATCTCTGTCTTAGAAATGGAATACGGAAAAAGGTAACTGGGGTAGGGGGGAGAAGGGAGGTTGCTGGCCAATGTAGACAAACCAAGGCGACCTCCGAACTGTGTATTGTAGTAGATAAGCAAGAAGTACTAAAATAGAAACCAAGTCCCTCTGTTGTTTGCAGAAGCAGAACTCAGAAGCCAGCTTCACTTACTTTTTTACACCGACAGAGCCATTTTCCTTGTTTTCCATGTCAACAGATAGCATGGGAAGGCTGCAGGGTTCCTTTACTTCAGCAACTAATCAATAAGGGAGAAAAGCTTGTGTTTAATTCTTAGAAAGTGAGAGAAGAATATATATTCTGAATCGGAAACATAATGGTCCCTTTTACAGCTTCACACCAGTTCACGTATGTTTGTTTAAATCTCCAGTTCCCTCGGCGATTGGAGAGATGTGATTAAACCTAAAGAACTGGAGGAGACGGATTGGGGTGCTTTCATCTGTACTGGCACTCCCTGCCTTGACAATAAGCATTTGCAAATGAAATTGAATCCTTGTTGAAAACAAGTGCTGTGTGAACTGGCACAGCTTCTCCTGGGTGCCTAGCTCTCACTTAAGACACTGCAACTCATAAATGAGTCAAAGTAGAGAAAAACAATCCCCCTTTTCCTTCCCCCCTCCCATTATGGGCTGTGATTTGTTTTTTCTTATTGCATTTGTTTTTTTTTTTTTTTTTTTGGTCCACTCCCCCTTGCTCCTAGATTTTTTCATTGCAATGCAGAAGGACACTTAAAGCTTTTGTCAGTAAGTATTCCCCTACCTCACATTCTCAACGAAAGCCTCAAAAATCCGTCTGTGAGATGGCCATGCTGTGGTAAAGCAGGAAGCTCACAAAAAATGCCAGATAGCCCTTAGCACAGAAAGGTGGTGCTGGGGTGTGTGTGTGTGTGTGTGTGTGTGTGTGTGTGTGTGTGTGTGTAAGAAAGAGTAGGTAGCTCATTAGATTTATGAAAAATCATCAGAACATTTAAGGAGATATTGTAGCATCCATCATTCTGTCTTTTTGTTTAGTAGGATGAGGGCTGTGAAAAATTAAAAGCCTTCCACAATTAATATGCAATTAGCAAAATGAAAAAGCTACGAACAAAACTGCTTTAAGAAAAAAAAAAACAAAACAAAAAAAAACGGAAGCAACAGTCCCGAAACGTGTTTGCTCTTATTCAGTTGAAGCCATAAATTAAATACATTTCCACTCAAATCACTTTATACTTCGGCACTCCTTCTCTAGGGATTACTCTGACATGGCAAGTGCATCATTTAGTATATTCGCAAGATTTTACCACTGTTAGAGAAGTAGATGATTAACAAATAACACTGTAAGTGTGGGATAATTTTCACTCCTGAAACACACACATACACACAAACTTCCAGTTGCTAAACCACTTAGATCACTGATAGAGAAATCCAACATTTAATATATAGATAGATATTAGCATACATTCACACACCGTTATAGAGTAGACAGGAAGATAGTGCTGCTGCTCCATGCTAACAGAATATGATTTCACTTCAGTTGGAAACTGTTACACATTCACCATTTTCTAAGCATCTCAGAAAACAAAACAAAACAAAACACTCACAATGATACTCTGCAACATCACACTACATTGTCTTATTATTATTACTATTATTTTCTTTTTTTGTGGAAGAGTAAAAAGAAAACCTACCTATAAGCAACTAAAAAATATCATTTTTTATAGGCTTATCAAGAACAGCCAAAGAAACCCCAATGTTTTCTTTCACAAAGTAGGCTGGCAAAGGAATTCAATAAGGAGGTACAATTTGACACAGTGAAATAAAACCAGGCTGGCTCTCAGCCAACATGACGTTAGGAATCACACACAAGCTGCACCAACTGCCTTCTGGTTCATGGCTGACTTTTTAAAGCTACAGTGTGCCTGTTCACTTTTGCTAACTACCTTCAGCACAATTAGTGCAAGAGAATGAGCCAGGAGTCCAAAACCTGCAGAATTCTCCCTGCACCTGTCTTGTACAAAGAAAAACAAGCTCTCTCAATAGCTTCTTATTTTCTCCCTCCCCTTCATTGTTGCTGCATGATAGGTCTTAGCTGTTGTTCTGAGCGTGAATGTCATGTTTCAAACTATTTCGTTTTCTCCCCAGAGGGAAAAATAAGAGTGAGAACCCAGTGCTTATGGGCTATAACCAGAGAACACTTGGAAGCTGCAGTCCCATGTTACTCTTTTTTTCCTAATAGAGATTGGTGGACAAAGTTCCCAGGGCTGGCTTTTAAGTAATCTCTTTGTGAGAATAAGGAAAGCACTGCCCAGCAGCAAATCCTTTTACTTCATTATGCAGGAAGTAACATATTTCAGAGAGGATGCAAAATAGATGACCAGATCTCCTGAAAACGCCCACATTCTTTTATTTTGGCATTTATTCTGCCAAATGAAGCCAGCAAAAATTCAGACTGAAACAAACAAAACCTTATTCTACAAAATGAAAACAATTAGTTCTGGGAGGTTTAATTTTAACTGTTTATCCCAGTTGCACAAAAAGCATAATTCAAGAAATTCAACCAACACTTACCATCTATGAGTACCCGGTACTGTATTAGTTGCATATAAGTAGAAAGACATTATGCCCACCCCAAAATTCATAGTCTCTCCTGCCACCATCCTAAATACCAAATCAGAAAACTGGGAGGTGGAGCAGAGAGGCTGGGCAAGATCTTTTGTTTACATTACCCTGGTCATTCTCACAGTTTCCGTGCTTGGCTTAAACCACTTTTCCAGGGGAATAATCTCATCCCATAAATGTTCTGCACATACACAGAAAACATACATGGTTGCCTCTTCATTGAAATAAACATCAATCAACATTTGTACACTTTTAGGTCAAGATGGTCAACAAAACCACTCAAAACAGGACACAGAACACAGGTTTCCCAGAAAGATCTTGGAAAAGTTATCTGTTGCTGTAATATCCTGTAGAATTCAGGTAGAATCCGAGGAGAAAGTTGCCTGCCTCCCTTTTTAAAAATAATCTTTTAGGACATTAGAAGATCAACTTTGATCTAAATTTGGAACCCGAATTTCAAGGTCAAAAATTGGTCCTTTACTTATTCCAGGAATTATATTAGAAATTTTCGACTTCCTTAAAGATCACTGCCGAGAAAGATTTCAAATATTTGCCATTGCTCCCTTGAAAAGGCAAACAATAGTAATCTAGGAACCAATTAAATATTTTTGAGCACTATTTTTGAGCACAGGTCAGGCATCTGGATCTTTCACCAGTGCTGATCTCAAAATGATGGACTCTTACCGAGATAAAGAGCTCTTTCACTAACAGATTCCATAATGCTTTTGGACTTGATCTGAAATTCCTTAACTATTCTCCCAGTAAATCCAAATTGGAAGCGAGTTGGACCGGGAGTTCTGTGTCCTGGGAAGCTGGGGTTGTCCTGACAGTGCTGCTCAGAACAAAAGCATGTTCAGCTCTCCACTCTTGAGGGGGAAAAGGCAAAGAGACTGTAGTTACACCCAGCTCTTCCTTAGACACAGCCGCAGGAGAAAGGATTCTGTGATGTTTTTCCAAGCATCTCTTCCTACATGTACAAAGGGACATCCCCTCCCATCTGGCCTGCTGTGATCAAAAGTTTGCCTGTTACACAACAGTAAAGTTTCAGAAAGTGTTGTAGGAAGTTAATCCCGTGGTATAAAAAGTGAGCCACAAAGACACTCTAAATTATGACAACAGGAGGTTTCACTTACCAGCTAGTTTCTAACTTTGGTAGTAAACTGACACTTGTGAATATAATATATATATACACACACTAGTACTCACACACTCCCTCCAACAAAATGTTTGACATCAATCCTCTGCTGATAAAAAGTTGTGTGTGTAGTGTGTAGCATAAAGTATGTATGTGTAATGTGTGTACTATGTGGTGTACTTTGTGTGTGGGTGTGGTACATATGTGGGTGTGTATGTGGTGTGTGGGGGTGAGGGAGAGAGGCAACCAAACAAGACCTTCTGATCCAGTACATTATGGGATATGCTGAAATAACTTTGGAGATCCTGAAATCTCCAAATTATATGCTGAAATTAACTTTGGTGTCAGTATTCTGGAACAGAACTTTCGACCCACTTGGGAACGGGCTCAGATAGGGAGAGGGGAGGCGGTTAGGAAGGGCGGGAAGCTGTTGACTTTGATTGGCTTCTTTTCTAGATCAGCATTCATCCCCCAGGCAGAAAGGACTCGCCTAGGGAGCCAGCGCGGTCCCAAAGGAGCCGCCGGCCCTGCCTCCCGGGATCCGACCCCAGGTGCGTCCAGCCTGAAGTCTCCCGAGGGCAGGGCGGACCTCACCGCGCCGGGAATGGCGTCTCAGGGGCAAGTGAGAATTGGCCCGGAGAGGGGACGGTAGGGGCAGAAGACGCCAATTGCCTCTTGGACCAGCAGCGCCGGCCCTGAGCCACACGACTCTCTGTGGCACTGGGGACAGAGCGGGGAAAGTTTCTGGCTAAGACTTTCACGGAGAGACGGTTCGCTGGCGTTTAGTGTGGGGGCTCCCCGGGCAAGCCGGTCTTTGGAAAGTGGAGGGTGTAGGTGTAGCGCTCGCGGGGCACCCCGCCGAGTCGTGCCACCACCCCGTCCCGCTCCCCGAGCACTGCCAGCAGCCCCAGGCGAGACCCGGCTCTCCGTGGGGCAGGGCACGGTTCTGCCCCCATTCCACTCCACGGTGAGAGCCCACGTCCGTGGGTGCAACGAGCTGCAGGAGCACCGAACACTGCCAAGATGAGGGAGGGCAGAGCGGTTTTCATTGCGGCATTCTTCGTTTCCTTCCATCCTGGAGAGAGGAGAGGGCGGTCGCCTTCCCACGCCCTGGCCGCACAGGCGGATTACTTACCTCCCCGCATGGCCGCGCTGGGAGGTTTGCCCCGCGCGGAGCTCGGCGGCCGCCACGCGCAAAGCCCCGGTGCAGCCGGCCGGACGCGCGCGGCACGCCGGGAGTTGTAGTCCACCGCGGGTCGGCTGGGGTCGGAGGGGCGGGGACCCCCAGGAATGGGGAAGGCCAGGACTAGAAGGGACAAGACCTGGGCAGGACAAGGGAGGATGTTTGCAAAAACTTAAAACTTCCAGGGACCTAGGGGGAGGGGAACCCTCCTAGAGAGATTTTTATAGTGAGGATTTTTTAGGTTAATACCATTTTCTTCCTGTCTTACTCGCTTATCACAACCCCAATGAAGTTTTAAGCTGGACTCTGGCAGTAATGTTAAGTAGAGATTTTCCCGGCCAACTTCATATTATTTAGGGCTCTATTCTCCCTTTATCTTGAACACAGATGTGCCATTCTCTGCTTGGACGCACACAGAATATTCTTGCTCACAGAATATCTCAGTTGAAGCCCTGAGCATGTAAAAGGAAGGTGAGTAGTTAGTTGCACCTTACACGTGCAGGGTGCTTTATAGCTCTCTTTACAAAGCACTGTGTACTTGATTGGTTCATTATATAAGAACCGTAAAGCAACCCTGAGAGTTAGTCAGAGAAAAGCTAAAGATGCAGGGAGGTTTTTTAAGTTTTGTTTTTTTTTGTTTTGGTTTGGTTTTTTGAGACGGGGTCTTGCTCTGTCGCCCAGACTGGAGTGCAGTAGCGCGATCTTGGCTTGATGCAGGGAGTTTTGGAGTTTTGTGTATCTGCATCTGTAGAGGTTGGAGTCATCCTGTCTATTCATTTCTTTCTCCAGCCTCTCATAGCAGCTGGGAAGAGAGAGTGGAGAGAAAGAGGGCTCAGGACAGGTGTGGACACGGTGGAAGAAGAGGAGCCTGCTGTGACAGACTTCCTTGAAATGACTAACAAGTAAATCTTTAAAGAAATAAGTAAAACCAAAAGAAGGACTTAGGGGTTGGAAGAAGGGAAGGAGAAGGAAAAGGCAGATGGGATAGGGATAGACATTAAAGATTGCAAACAGGCTAGTAGCAAAGAAAGCAAAAAAACAAACAAGGTTTTTAGAAACCAGATAAACCTTGGATTCCTGGTGTTGTCACTTCTGAGCTATCTCTGTGACCTTAGGTAAGTTCTTTAACCTCCCCAAACCTATTTTGCCTCATCTGTAAAATTAAAAAAAAAAAAAAAGTTCTGACTTTATCATGTGGCTGTGCCTATTAAAAAGAGACAGGAAGCACATAGTATAGTGCTGGGCATATGATAGGCAATTAATGTTGTCTACTATTATTATCTGCAGAAATTCCCTTTGTGTAAGTATCAAAAAATAAATTGGAGTGGAAGTACCAGTGAAAGTACCAAAAATAAATTGGAGTGGCTATGACAATACTCCAAGCTACTGGCAATGATAGCTTGAACTACATTGACAGAAAGGCATCCATGTTGCCATGAGATGGGGAAAACAGCGAGTACAATCAACTGGATGTGGGGAAGGAAGAACAAGAATCAAATTGGTTGTTATTTCTAGATTAAGTAGATGATGTTGGCATTCTCATAAATAGATACAACTGATGGAAAAATGGGTTTTGGAGGAAGATGACCACTGGCTTTCCTCATTTTATTGTGCTTTGTTTTATTGCAGTTCACAGAAAATGTGTTTTTTGTTTGTTTGTTTATTTTACAAATTGAAGGTTTTTGCCAATCCTGTGTTGAACAAGTCTATTAGTGCAATTTTTCCAGCAGTATGTGCTCACTTCATGTCTCTGTCACGTTTTGGGCATTCTCATAATATTTTAAGCTTTTTCATTTTTATTGTACCTGGTATGGTGATCTGTGATCATTGATCTTTGATGTTACAATTGTAATTGTTTTAGGGTGCCACAGACCATGCCCATTAATCTATAAATGTTGTGTGTATTCTGAGTGCTCCACCTGCCAGCTGTTCCCCACCTCTCTTCCTCTGCTGGTCCTCCCTATTCCCTGAGACACAACAATATTGAAATTCGGCCAATTAATATCCTTATAATGGCCTCTATGTGTTCAAGTGAAAGGAAGAGTCATACGTCTCTCACTTCAAATCAAAAGCTAGAAATGATAAACTTAGTGAGGAAGGCATGTCAGAAATCCAGATAAGCCAAAGTTAGGCATCTTGTGCCAAACAGTTAGCCAAATTGTGAATGCAAACAAAAAATTCTTGAAGGAAATTAAAAGTGCTATTCTAGTGCATACCTGAATGATAAGAAAGTGAAACAGTCTTATTCCTGATATGGAGAAAGCTTTAGTGGTCTGCATAGAGGATCAAACCAGCCACAACATTCCTTTAAGCCAAAGCCTAATCTGGAGCAAGGCCCTAACTCAAGGTTGAGAGAGATAAGGAAACTGTAGAAAAGTTTGAAGCTAGCAGAGTTTGGTTTCTTAAACGAGGTTTAGGAAAAGAAGCATAACATAGAAGTACAAGATGAAGAAGCGAGTGCTGATGGAGAAGCTGTAACACGTTATCCAGAAGATCTAGCTAAGGTAGATGGAGGTGGCTACAATAATGAGCAGTTTATCAATGTAGACTTAATAGCCTTCTATTGGAAGATGCCATCTAAGACTTTTCTAGCCAGAGAAAAAGCAAAGCCTGACTTCAAAGCTTCAAAGGACAGGCTTATTAGGGGCGAATGCACCCAGCGACCTTAAGTTGAAGCCAATTTTCATTTACCATTATAAAAATTCTAGGGCCCTCAAGAATTATGCTAAATTGACTTTACTTGTGCTTTATAGATGAGACAAAAAGGCCTGGGTGACAGCATATCTGTTTACAACATGGTCTTCTGAATATTTTAAGCCTACTGTTGAGAACCACTACTCAGAAAAAAAGATTCCTTTCAAAATATTAATGCTCATTGACAATGCACCTGTTCAGCCACGAACTTTGATGGAGATGTACAAGAAGATGAATGTTGTTTTCATGCCAGCTAGTAAAACATCCTTTCTGCAGCCTATAGATCAAGCAGCAAATCTGACTCTCAATTCTTATTATTTAAGAAATCCTTTTTATAAGGCTATGGCTGCCACAGATAGTGATTCCTCTGATGGAGCTGGGCATCATAATTGAAAGCCTTCTGGAAAGGATTCATCATTTTATATGCCATTAATAACATTCATGATTCATGAGAGGAGGTCAAAATATAACATTAACATGAGTTTGGAAGAAGCTGGTTCCAAGCCTCATGGGTAACTTTGAGGGGTTCCAGACTTCAATGGATGAAGTCACTGCAGATGTGATAGAAATAACAAGAGAAATAGAATTGGAAGTGGTGCAGGAAGATATGACTGAATTGCTGCAATCTCGTGATCAAACTTGAATGGATGAGGAGGTGCTTCTTATGATTGAGCAAATAAAGTGGTTTCTTGAGATGGAAACTATTCCTGGTGAACATGCTATGAACATTGTTCAAATGACAACAAAGAATTTAGAATATTTCATAAACATAGCAGATAAAGCAGCATCAGAGTTTTAGAGGATTGACTTCAATTCTGAAAGAAGTTTTACTGTGGTTAAAATGCTGTTCAATAGCATCACATGCTACAGGGAAATCTTTCATTAAGGGAAGAGTCAATTGATGTGGCAAACTTTATTGTTGTCTTAAGAAATTGCCACAGCCATGCCAACCATCAGCAACTGGCTACCCTGATCAGTCACCAGCCATCAACAATGAAGCAAGACCCTCCACCAGCAAACAGATTACAGCTTGCTAAAGACTTTAAGATCGTTAGCATTTTTAAGCAATAAAATATTTTTAAATTAAGATATGCACTTTTTAGAAGATCTAATGCTAATGCATACTGAATATACTACAATATAGTGTAAACATAACATTTATATGCACTGGGAAACAAAAAAAATGTGTGTGACTTACTTTATTGTGATATTTGTTTTATTGTGGTGGTCTGGAACTGAGCCCACAATGTTCCCGAGGGGCCTGCAGTTTGATTTTGGACATGCATAACTTAAGGGTTTATCTGAGTGAATGGCCAAGTGGAAGTTGGAAATGTGGATTTGGATTTTTCATGTAGAAATGAGACTTTGAGAGTCAATTACTTAGGAGAGAAAGTTGAAGAGCATGTGGAGAGGAAAAAGAAAGGACAGCAGGCGTGAGCAGGGGTAGGTGAGAAGTCAGATAATAATGGCAGGCAGGAATTGGTTAAGGAGGAAAGGAAAGCTTCAGGGGTGTAGTGACATGGGATGCAAGGGAGGATGAAGAGATGAGGAGCAGCTTCTCAACAAGTCAAATGCTCTAGAGAGGTAGCCAATGACAACAGAAAAGAGGCCTCTGGATTTATAGATCAAGAAACTATTGGGATTAAACTGCTTCCAGGGGTTCTTTTGGAAATTTACCAGAGTGATTTTACTTGTCCCAGTGATTGGGGAGTGTATTAGTGCATTTTCACACTGCTGTAAAGAAATACCCAAGGCTGAGTAATTTATAAAAAGATTTAATTGACTCACAGTTCCACATGGCTGGGGAGGCCTCAGGAAACTTACAGTCATGGAGGTAGGGGAAGCAGGCACCATCTTCACAATGTTGCAGGAAAGAGAGAAGTGCTGTGAAGGAGGAACTTCCAGTTATAAAACCATCAGATCTCGTGAGAACTCACTCACTGTCATGAGAACAGCGTGGGGGAAACTGCCTGCATGATCCAATCACCGGCCTCCCTTGACACATGGAGATTATAATTTGAGATGAGATTTGGGTGGAGACACAGAGCCAAACCATATGAGGGAGCGGGGCACTACTGGAATATAGTTGGTGGGGTCAAAGATTCTAGACATCCTCCGTTCACCAGGACAGTCACGCAGAGCAAAGAATTGTCCTGCATCCTGTGTGACTTAGTTGTCTCACTGCTCAGCTCATTTATGTAGATGAAAAATCTATTTATAATTATCTGAGCCTAGAATCTATTTTATACATAAACATAAACTGTTTTCCACACAGTTTTAAGTTATATCAAATTTTCCTGGAATGAAGTAAATTGAATGGCAATATCATTTATGGAAATTGTATCACCAATACAGTTCATTTTGTGACTGTCTCTTTCATGGTGATTCTGCATGTGGAACAAGTATCTGACTACTTTAATTGTGTCTTTTAGCTTAGGGATGCTTGAGCAGTTGCATGTTGGATCATGCAGGGGTTTTTTTGTTTTGTTATGGTTTCTTGATCCATGTTGATGGAATGTTGAAGGCCTGGGGAGAGGAGGACTCAGTCCCAGGCCAATGCTTATTCATTACTCCTGCCAGGAGTAGGCTGACTTGTTCAGAGTGCGCAGGCCTCTCTACCTCTGCTCTTGACCTTTTTGATGGACTTAGCCCTATTGATGCAGTTGAGGATTGGGGCGAGCTGGTAATTAAGCACAAAGGCCCAGAAACAATGATGATTCAATAAAGTGTATTCTAGAACATAGACTGAGGTAGATTTAAAATTCTGGAAATGGAGA